TCGTAATCTCAAGGGTCACTCAGAGCCGGGCAATGCTTCGACATTTCAGTTGATAGTGGGAGTGGAGCTATGGAAGTCAAGATGTTAAAAAAAATGAAAATTATTATGAGTGTATTCTTTACAGATTGAACTGCTACGTTTAACAGTCCTCTTTTCATTGCAAAATCCCCAAAATGGGCTTGCGCATACTGCGCTGCGGGGACATCGGCATAATCGCCCAAAAGTAGGCTCAGCTTGCATCAAACAGTACAAAAGTGTCATTGCTAAGTTTAATGGAAGAGACGGAAAGCTGCAAAAGACAGGGATGTAAATAGGACTACAAAATAATAAAAAATTTATTAGCAATATAGCAAGAATATCAAGAATAAATAAATAAATGGATAAAAAAATAAAATCAGTTAATAGCATGAACTCGTAAAGTGACGTTAGCATGGACTAAAATAATACGTCTCAAACAGATTCGTGGCGTATTATCCTTTCCAAACCCTAAACAAACATCTGCTTGCATGGATAAAAGCACCTGAAATCAGAATTTACACCTTTCCACCACCTCTGCATAGGAGCGTAATGCACGGCGCACACTCGGACCAAATCGATCAGTGATAGCCGAGCTCCTCTTTCACTCATTTGAAGGGAAATATGTGTTTTGGATAGCACACTGCAGGTTTTCTAGGCTGTATTCTCTTAATAGACACAGAAGGAAATCAGATTTTTTCGGTGCGGCACTGTCAGAGGGTAGCGCGTCTGTGACCCATCTAAAATATCTCCTGAACTAGTGGGTCTTCAGAAAAACTGTAAAGCTTATTGGAAAGAGAAAAGATGGAGGGGTTTCAGGACGATTTTAATCCCGATAAAATTGCACTTGAACGTAAGCAAACCCCGCGTGAAGCATGGAAACCAGCTTGCGATTTACCCCTAGCCTATCCAAAACCCATCCAGGAATATTTCACCAACGGGGGATTGTTCAGTTTGCAGCTAGGTAGAATACACAACAGCAGAAACTTTGCCGTTGCATGCTGCTCACCATTCCTCAAAAGCTCCGCACCTAAAAGAGATATAAGCTCCTGAAAAGACCCCAGAACGCTGACTTTCGAGTTACCGCGCTCCAATGACGTTTTTGCAGCGAAAGCGGTCGCAGCCTTGCGATCGATAATAGCCAAGTATAGAACGATTTACTGCCGCCTGAGTTTATCCTTTTTTTCATTTGGCTCATTTTCATTTTCATGTGCCCCTTTTTCGTCTCTTCCTTTCTCACCGAAAAAATAACGATCGAATAGGGGACACAAGGGGGGAGAAGGGGGGGGGCGGGCTCGTGATACGAGCGCACAAGCTGACAGCTGAAAGTGAGAACCGTAAACGCTAAAAACAACGTCAGAGGGAGAAAATTTTCCACTGAGGGCTCAGATTACTACCTCTCCTTTCATCTATTGAGTCATTAACGAACCACTAGCGTTAGGTATCCAACGCTCAAGGTGCCATCGTGGGAAAAGTGATTTTACCCAGTACTAGATGGGCAAGCAGAAATAGCCTTGACGGGTGGGATGACCGATGAAATCTCCAGAGACGTCTTGGGCACCATTATATGGAGATTTCATCGGTCTGTCTCAGCGAGCTAGGGGATAGTAAGGGGAGGAGCTGCATTGGCACGGGCTCATCCGCTCTCAACCACATCAGACTAAACGCGAGCAATATGGCCAACTATGACAGATAGGAAAAACAGGAAAACAGCTGACGCCGCGGTCGCGAACCTACACTGCGAAGTCGTAATCGATAGTTCGACCATGAATTCCAAAATCCTGGTCCTACCACAAAGTTTTTCAAGTGCCGTTATACAAAAAAATGTGGTCAATCACGAATACTGCTCGCAAACACCGACGCTAATTCTGGAGAAGAGCGATTTTTCCGTCAAAAAATGCGTGCCGTTCCTGACAACGTGCAGCAAATGGTAGTTCCACCGAACAAATCGAATATTCCAACAATGAATGTACAATATGAATGAAATTCTGATCCAGTGATCTACTGGAACTCTATTTCTCCAACTAAGTTGGAAAATACGGTTGCCCATGTTCGATTAGAGATTCTAATAGGCTTTCGGCGGACTGCAATGATTAACTGGCTAAGCTCACTGCAATGATTAACTGGCTAAGCTCACGGACATTGTGGAATTGTGCACTACTCTCATGGATCATGTGCACCATGAAGCCCTTCACGTCCTCGATTGGACGGGCGAATTCGGTTTTAGTCGGGCTGACTCGCTGGCCAGAGCAAAAGATCGGTTCGGTGACTGAATCACGCTCCAGTGCTTCGACTGTCATGAACTGGTGCATTGTCCTGCATCAAAAACGGGACTTTCTTTGCTGGATCTTCCCACGTCAGAAACGCAAGGAGCAACGTCGTCGCTGACCCTTTTATGAGTCCGCAAGAACAGAATTTTCTTTTTCATACGGAGCACAGTTTCAGACGTTTCATTCATGCGATGGCAGGCCAGACCATGAGACCACATCCACTGGTGTTCCGCCCGGAAAAATGAAACTTGTCTTTCCTCAGGTCGTGCCAGCGGAATCGGTTTCGGAGCCGTCGCCGTTGAATTTTTTCTCATCAGAAAACACGACCGCGAAAAAAAAGACTGAAAAAGAAACAACACAGACAAGCAGTAGGGCACCGCAGCCAAAAGCTAACCTCACTCCATTGGGTTCGGCAACATATTCGAGCAAAGCCATTTAGGTTTTCGCGATGGTCTTTTGGTAGAAACAGTACGCAGCTCATATTCCTCCTATGGGTGAACTCGGGAGTTTTCCAAGAGACGCCTAACAGTATCCTCCCAGACATTAGCCTGTGAAGATGACTTAATTTACCGACACGGCACTGCAGAGTTGGATGGCTTTCGCTGAGATAACGCGCGTTTTATTCCGATCGCGGCAGCAAAGCGTGGAGTCCAGAGTTCTTCTCAACTCAATATGCTGTAGGTCCCTTGGAAATTGTTTGCAGAATGATGAGTGCGGCCCGAATCTCGAGCGATCGACGCTTCACCAGTTTTGAACTTCTTTGCGGATATCTTCCTTTTTCGAGGTCCATTAATGAAGTTCCTTGCCATAGCCTAGAAGAGGCGAGAAGTCACAATGAGAGAAGTTTCACCGAACAAAAATGAGATGCAGCCGGAAAATATGCGGTGGAACTATCATTTTGCTGCGTTGTCAGAACGACCATTTTTGAAAAAATTGACGAAAAAATTGTTTTCTAGCATCGAATGTGGCATGCGAGGTATTGGTAATTACCACACTTTCCTCATGGGGACATTTTTGAAAACGTCGTGTAAGACAGGATTTTGTGAGATTCATGGGTGGAACTATGATTATGCTTCGCAGTGTAGACTCCTACACGCCACCATCTGCAAGGAACAAGAGTACAAATGCTATATGCTAGCCTCACTAGACTCGAAACATTGCCTTCGTCGAGAGTATGGCTCAAAGCAAACGAGAGCTGTTTATACGACACGGATCGCCCAGCTGTCGCCGGCCCTTCTCTGACATGGCCCGGCTTCGCCGGACGGCGCGGATTTGCTGCGTGCTAAGTTACGGATCGTTGACCAACCACACTGTTCAAAGGAATGTTCTGCATCAGCCAAGAACTGAAAAGCAGCGCCCGTTTTGTCAAGACGCAGAAACCGCAGCAGCGCCCGCCGCATAAGGAGGGAGTGCCCGCGTCAGCAAGCGATCCGACTGGTACGTTCATAACCTACACGGGAATAGAGCGGCATGTCAGATTAGCCGCTGAATGATCCTGCTGATTCATAAATCCCCCTCTTGGCCCCCACTAGCAGTGTACGCTCTTGATGGCCTCAAGGTTGTTGTGAAAGATAGCTTCTGATAAAAGTGATTCCTGTTGTTCGACTCTATATGTTAAGGCTTCGGGACGGAGAAGCATTACCTTCGACAATGGTGCACCTGCAACAATGGCAAAGGATGCATAGTCGCAGACTGTAAGCTTCTGTATACGCCTCTTCCGCGAGAGAGTTTGTAGAAGCAGTAACATCACTCAAACAACGAACTATTTAGTGATCTACAGCTTAGCTGCGTTATACTTTGGACGGACGGCGTAGAGCGTAGCGTAGCGCAGCGTAGCGTAGCGCTTCCAGCGTACGCCAGCGGCAGTGCCGAAGAGAGGATGCATATCGATCTAGCTTCACCAGCGTCACCAGCGGCACGCTAGGCGTACGCCAGCGGCACGCTAGCGCACGCTGGCGTAGCGAGGGCACGGGAAGCATAGCTATCGATCTAGCTTCACCAGCGTTTCTCGAGCGTTTCTCCAGCGGCACCAGCGTTTTGCTAGCGCTTGCAGCGGCAGGGAGTAGAGACTATGTGGCCGTGAGAGACGCGGAATGTAGAGACCGTGTGGCCGTCGGAGACGCCCGAAGAAGCATGTGGCTTGTAAGAGACTATGTGGCCGATCGGAGACCAGGAAGGCGATGTGGCATTGTAGAGACTAAGGGCGAGTGAGAGACGCGCAATCGATGTGTTTTGTACCCTCCAGCTCTCCCATAGTCTCTACTCCCCTGCCGCTGCAAACGCTAGCAAAACGCTGGTGAAACCTGGAGAAACGCTGGCGCGCGCTAGCGGCACGCTGACGCTGGTGAAGCTAGATCGATATGCATCCTCTCTTCGGCACTGCCGCTGGCGTACGCTGGAAGCCTGCGCTACGCTACACTACGCTGCCGCAAAGTATAAACGCAGCCTTATCTCTTGCTGAAAACTTGGCTTACGCTGCACCTTGACAAGTGTTACGCTGTATTCAGTAATTTTGGCTGTTTTTTCGCTTTTCCCCACTTGTCAGTTATTCAGCACGGTGACATCAATATTTTGACTGCCTCACCTGTCTGCTAACGGAGCTTTGCTAGTTTGAGCCACGAGCGGAGATAGAACATGTTTTAGCTAGCTGAAAATGATTCGCTGCAAAGTGATAACGAGCGCGATAAGGAGCGCTATATAAGCTCGATTAGTAGGATGAGAACCATTTCGCTGGACTCCAACAGGATGTTTCCGTCGTTCCATGTTTTCTGCCTCATGCTAGCGATGACGATCCTTTCTGCAAAAGTGTCCGCTGCGATCGATGCGGAAACCATCAGAAAAGCCAAAAACGGCGAATGGTTCTCTCTTCCATATGATGAAGATGACAGATTTCTCAAGGTAAGTCCAATCAAAGGCAGAATCTCAGCAGTGTGTTTACGCTCTGCAGCAATGATCTCTTGCATCGCTGTCACTTCCAGATCGTGACTGTTTCAACAATTGGTTCTGGCGATGGCAGTTACGAGAACGCTCAAGAATACTGTCGGAGAGAAGGTTCTTACCTGATGACCATTCATTCCCAAGCGGACATGGACAAAATAACAGGTTATCAAAACCATAAAATACCGTTAAGACAACAGTAGCAATCGTTTTCTTCTCACTGATGCTTTAGTCACATTCACAGCTTTCGGATTCGGAGAACGAGAACAAAAGAGATTGGAACGCGATACCGACTGGTACCTACCACGAGGTACACCCTGATAGCTTGTCACTGCTCAGGTGGAAAATCCGCAAAAGGGATTATGATTATCGAATCGAAAAAGTGAAGAAACGCATAGGACAGCACCGCTGGATTGTATAATCCTAGAATCAAACCAGAGAAAACACGGCGGAATAGCTCGAACTCGAAATGATTGATTCCTTATCAACGACGTGGCACTGGGAGACATCCATCCCTTTGTTGGACATGGTTTTCAACCGATGCGTACCTGAATCCGTTCGCGCAGACTTTCCGATACGCCCCCCCCAAAGAAGAGCTTTGCTATCATTTTTCAGGTACAGGAGCTCCAACACGAGTGCCACGTGTAAGGTAAACCGACAGTGAAGATCAGGCGAAGATGCCCTCGGAAGCTAGGCCTCCTTCCGAAGATAACGAGTCATGTGGCTCATATCATACAACTTGATACCGCGATAGTTGGAGCACATCCGTCGCGTCCCCTTCTCACTGATGATGGGGACGATTGTGCTGCTCCTCAACGCATCTGGCATCCTTCCCTTAGCCGTTACGCTGTTTAGAAGTGTGTGAGCCAACTCATCCCATGCTTTCCAAAAGCCTTCCATGCCTCTATCGGTATGTCCTGAGCAGCGCGATACCCAGGACATCAGGGCCGTAAAGACTGTGAGGAGCAGCAACAGGTATCAATGGTGGACCTTTCGGGAAGTTCGGATCCTTGGGAGGGAACTTTTTTTGCATTTCATGAGAAAAGTCTTTTTCCTGGTCTGGAATAAACTCAAACGCTCGCTGATAATAAGAGCATTCTGACAATCAGGAATTTGCGTGAGTAATGAACTTTCTCCATAAAAAAATTAATCTTGCAGAGGTCGCAAGGAACCTGCCAATGTATGATTACGTCCACTTGCTGATGAATTGTTTATATACACCGGATTGGCAGCTGAAATAACAGGTGAAGTGATGTGGCATGACGGAACTTCCCTGGACTCAGCTCTCCAAACGGATTTTATTCGTGGCGCTAGTCCGAAATATCCGGAATGTTATCGAGTGAGTTCTGTCTCCGTCTCTCTTGAAACAAGCATGTTCGGAAGTGTAGTCATCATCTGAAAGTAGGTGGAAAGGAATCATGTATCAAAACAGACACTTCCGCTAGAGACGCAAGCGATACTCAACATGAACTGGCACCAGTCATATCAGTTTTGTACGAGCCATACCATGTCGTTTGAATTTTTGTGCCCTTCAGATCACATATTCACAGTGGAACCCTTATTGAGCCATCATGCGATATTCAATAAAAAATTGTAAAGTACTTCTGTTCCCAACAGTCTAATTGTCATTCAGTATCGTTCGGTGCGGATGAGGGAGCATGTTCGGCAGCGTCGGACCCACAGTACCCTTCCGACGCCGTACTTTTACTTTCTATACCTGATCGCGGACAGTAAGTCCTAGACAGCGCGGAAAAAAATTGGTGAACCGTTCGCAATTTATCGTCTTCCAATTGGCAAAGTTTCAGATCAAAGTGCAGGAATATGGGAAACAGAAGAAGCATTCCTAGATTGTAGCAAACTTGATCCAGATTCTACTATTATATTGCATGCGAGAAGTGAGAATTGTCAGTTTTCGGAATAAATTTTCTGCTGTGATGTGTTACGCATGCGCTACGCAGTGGGTGAGAAGCAAATGAGGCCAATAGAGACGTTCTGCCATTTCCGAATAAGTCGCGCCACTGCGGTTTTCAGCATACAGGGGCCAAAAAAGTCACTTTCCTTCCTTGACTTTCGAGGCGTTATAAGTTACACTTCATGGAATTCTGACCGGACATTTTTACTACCATATTGAAGAGCATATTAAATACTATCATGATACTCCGCCACAGCCTTCTGGAGGAGCGCCGTCGAGAGATTCTGCCACGCAACCGTGATTCGGTACCTGGCTTCAGCGAGATAGTTGATTTCTCGGCCACTGTAGACCACCTTGTTGAGCTCCGCCCGAACCCGGTAATTGAGTGGCCTTAGGTCAGGGGACGGCCTTCGGTCAGGGGGCGACGACATGTAGGGAGGATATTCTTCTCGAGCTGCTCGATGTAACCGCCAGCGCTCACCTTCAGTCCGGGTCTACAAAGAAAATATCGGTCTTCCCATTCTAGGTACTCCGGTCCATACCATCAACTCGCGCCTCGGCGACTACGGTGAAGATGATGTCCTAGACCGTAGCGACGTTGTCGGAGCTGCTCGATGTTGGAGGTCTTCCAGATCGAGAGTACTGGTCTCCAGGTAGCTATCCATGGGTGACTCCATACTAGAAGTTTCGCAGCTGTTTGGAGGTGACATGAATTCCAAAGGTCTTCTCCAGTCAGGTTGCGACTGGAGATGACTTCATATTTTGGTGTACATGAAGGTGATGGCCAGCTCCTGCTTATCGAGGAACATCTG